TGATACTGGTATCAATTAAAAATGTTTTACAAAAAATTACATTGATAGGAGCCTGGGAACAATATTCACCTGAAAAATCAGGACCCACTGTCCCAAATGCGAAAACAAGAATTTTTTTTTTTTTTTTGCAGGATTTTAAAAAAGATAAAAATTTTTTGATTATTAATTTATCTTTAAAAGATTTCTTATGGTTCATAAATGGCGTCCAAGGAAAGTTTGAAACCCCCATCTATTTGAGGGGGTTTTCAACTTTAAGAGGTCATAACTTTTGAACGTTAAAATAGTTTTTTACTAAATGCAAATTTTACAGATGAATTTTAGTCGAGTTCATAATGGTAGAGTTTTTTTTTTTAAGTGCTATCATTGCCCCCTTCCCTAAAAATATTTGGACTTAAAGGCCCTAATTTTAGGATAAAATTCTTCCCAAACTCTGATTTTTTTTTAACATATTATTTGCATTAATGTGAAAATGCATATCTGGAGGTTACTTATCTTAAAGAATAAAAATCTTGAAATTGATCTTTTAGTATATATTCAACTGTTTTTTAATTGGAAAATGATTTAAACGACACAAATTAATGCTTACGTAAATATTTATTTCTATTTACAATCAATAAAAGTTTATAAAAGATACACATATATACTATAAGATATTTAATTTTAAAGAAAAACTGTTAAAGAAGGTATGTCGGTAGTTGTACATAACAGTGGCTTAAAACAGGCTTTATGGATAGTCTTAAAGGCTTCAAGAAACTTTGTATCTACTCTCCCAAAACTGCTTTAAAATCATAATGAACAGATTCAAAGGCGTGTTCAGACCAAAAACTTAATCCTTTATTCGGATTGAAATTTTACTTAAGTGAAAGAAATTCACATGCATGATTGATAAGAGCATGCACTTTCGGTGACATAGACCAAGTTTAGAATAAGTATCTTTTGAAAACCTAAAATTTGGTTCCACTGGTTTGCCAATAAGGTAGTATCTACTGGTTGATCTGCCTGATGACATAAAAGTTATTGAAATTCTTGCTTCAATGGACCTCTATTTACTTTGTTGAAATGCAAACAGATTTTACGATCATCTTGAAAAACATTTGCAATCTATGGAAGGTTAACCCTATAGATTAATGTCTACAAGTGTTTTTAAATTTACTTGTTTCCAAAATAAGGATTTTTTCAACTGGAAAAAATGCTTACAAAGAGCTTTTTATTTGTTTGACGACAATGGCTTTACTTTTAGCTGCAATCTTGATTTTATCACCCTCCTCCTCAACTTTTCTTTTCAATACTTTTAAGCATTGAACTTTGGTACCTTGACCTAATATCTTAATATCAGAAGAAATTTACTTCCATGTTTCAAATATTTTATATAAATTTCTTCATTTCGGGTTTAAAATATTAAATCAAAAATAAAAGGTTCGCCCTACGTTTGTCAAGTTCTTCTGTTAAATTTTTTCTTCTCGTTGTGAGAGTGCAAGGGTGGGGTAATCATCTTCCAATGACAACCCTATAACTTTTACATATTTATCCTTCTTTAACTTTAGTCGTTCCTGATCCTTTTAAAAAAGAAATTAGGCAGACTAAAGCTCTTTTACCTTTTTGAAAGTTTTCAATGTTTGGCATTTTAAAAGGATATGAGCAATACTAAATTTTTTTTTATCAACTATTGCAGCAGATAAAGAAAGTTCATAGAATCTATTATTAAATTTTTTGGGGGTATACCACAAGGAAGTATACAAAAGAGAGGAATGTTATTTATACATTTAACTTGTAATAGAAACGCTTTTTTACCGTAATTAACGTATTGTTTAAAATTTTCCATAAAATTAAAGCCCTAAAGTCCAAATATTTTTTAGGGAAGGGGATAATGATAGCACTTGAAAAAAAACTCTGCCATTATGAACTCGACTAAAATTCATCTGTAAAATTTGCATTTAGTAAAAAACTATTTTAATGTTCAAAAGTTATGACATTGTAAAGTTGACAACACCCTCAAATAGAGGGGGTTTCAAACTTTCCTTGGACGCCATTTATGAACCATTAGAAATTTTTTAAAAATAAATTAACTTTTCCAAAGAATTTTGATCTTTTTTAAAAAACTGCAAAAAAAAATTTTTTTCTTGTTTCCCTATTTGGAACAGTGGGTCCTGATTTTTCAGGTAAATATTGTTCCCAGGCTTCTATCAATGTAATTTTTTGTAAAACAGTTTTATTTGATACCAGTATCAATATTACAAATTTTGAAGTTTGCACCATCTCTGGAAGTTACCTATTTTGAACATCAAAAAATCACGACCTGCTCGTTTAACCCTCTTTTTTTTTGAAAGATGTCGACAGAATATTTTCAAAATCTAGGTCATAACAGAACAAGGTACGGTGATTTTGAAAATGTAATTTATTTCTGGTGTACTTTTTTTTCGTAAGAAATATTTCCACTAGGGTGTGGGCACCAAGAATGACCCAGAGTATTAAAAAAAACTGTTTGATAATTCATTCTTAAAACAATTTATGCTAGAAATCACAATGAAAACATAACTAAACTCAAATAATACAATTTTTAAGAATATCTCAACAGAATACTTCAGAACTTTATTTTGCTTAGTCAATGTATTTTTTGAACCAATAGAAATAGTTTGTATGCAGGTATGGCAGGTTTTTAGAGTTCACAAATTTTCTTTTTTATTCTTATGCACCAAGATGTTTGAGAACATTTAAATTTATATTGAATTAACTATATAACTTTATAATTGTTTTGCGGACAAACATGGAAACATATACAAACTTAAGTGTTCTCAAAACGACTAAAAAATCTGGCCTGTTTTTCGTAACTAAATATTATTTGTGTGGTCAAGTTTCAAGTGCGATTGCACCCACTTCCCAACCAAACCTGAGTAAAACATATGTGTAGAATCTACACTTAAGATCTTTATAATGATATCAAAAACATTCCCATTTTTTGAATAACAACTTCATAAACCTTTCAAAGAAATCAATGTCTTGGACTCTATTTACACCAACAGTAAAAATTTGAAGGACCTTGCTGGACCACTAAATATTATTTAAATTTTATAAAATTTTGCAGGTTATATCATGGGACCATAAAAAAACTTTAAGGAGAGTGAGACTTAGCAATTTTAACAAAAATATTTTTATGTAATGTTTTTGGCCCAATTTTTTCTTTATTAACATAATTAACAAATGGTATTAGAATAATACCAATTAATTTTATTAATACTCCTAAAAAATACAGTCATAAAAAAAAATTAATTATGTCACCCTTATGACAGTACTCTTTGTACTTGTTCAACCCATTTTACTTTTCAGCATAGATATCATCCATCTCATAGATCAGTTTTTTGTTCAAATATGCAATATATGTTCTAAAATGCATCTTACATTTTATAAGATTGAAGTTCAAAATCCAAGTTTTTGACTAACTCATAAGATGGCTCAGATAGTTTTGAAATAATTTATTACAAAAGTGAACTTTTTAAAATCAAATTTGTTTCATCTGTATTAACATTCAGAAAGTTTACATTGTAAATCATTTCTCAAAACAATGTTTGAAGCACCCTACTAGCCATTTAGAAATATTATAGCCCATTTTCACTCTTGGTTCATAACTATTTAAAAAATTTTCAAAAGCTTAGTAAATATCAGATTCCGTATGTCTTCAATTTTGCACAATAATCTTTAAAGAGAAATACTGTCAAAGGCTTTTCAAAAATCATAAAAAGCAATACTGACTTGTTTTATTATATTGTTTATGTAATCGAATCTAAAGACTCCAGGTAATAGGTTACGCTTTTTTTAACTTGGAACAAATCTGTGATCAAATCTTCATCAATATGATACCTCATACAAACCTTTTGTATAATCTTCTCAATGACTTTGCAAGGTATAGATATACTGAGGCAGATCTATATTTGTCTGGACATTTGCTACTGTTTAAATAAGTGCATATAGATCAAAATATATCAATAATTTTTGAGGATAAATATTAAAATAATCTATAAATGAGCTTATTAGGTTCACTTTCAGTATCACACATTCAGCCCCAGAAAAATGAAAAATCATAGGTTATTAACGAAAAATAATTGAACTGTTATTAAGTTAAAGGTTGGCATCATTTGGCAAAAAAAAAATTGATACAGAGATTTTACCATAAAACATAGAAACAAGGTCGATGAACACTTTTCTCAAACAACATTTCTAATACTAAGGTCCGCACATTTTGCATCCCTATCTTTTAAAAAAATAAGGTCCAAACCAGGGGCATGGAGTCATAAAAAAAAAATAACGACTCCAACTCCGACTCCAGTTGTTGAAATTTTTACGGAGTACAACTCCGACTCCAAATCCGACTCCAACTCCAAAGCAAAATTTTGAATAATTCTTTGAATTCTTTAAAAAATATTGCCCGGTAAGTTGAAATTTTTTTTTGACAAATACATGAAACATTCTTTGGTGTTTAGTATGAACATAAGGTTAATTGAATGTTTTGTACATGCACGTGCAATACCAAGAAACTTAAATATCGGAGTCGCACTATTTTTATAGCAACTCTGACTCCGGTAAAATTGTCGCAACTCCGCGACTCCAACTCTGACTCCGACTCCACAGCCCTGGTCCAAACTATCTTTAATATTATTAGTCTGTTATAGACTAATTAACTGTTGTGTTCACAATATAAATTCTCTAAAAAACCAGCATCAATTAGATCAAGCCATGATACATGTCTACGACTCTATTCTCTACACTCTATAAGTCTATTTTTTTTCTGGTAACTTCCAACTTAACAGTGATTGCTTGTTGGGATCTTATCTTTGTTGGGAGTGAATTAGAATTAAATAATAAAAAAAAAAGTTTATATAAAAATGAAACAATAATGTAATTATTAAAAAATTTGTGTTCATCATTGTATTTTACTTTGTATCAAAATCATCAAGTCATAGTGTCATTTTACATTTAAATATTTATTATTTTAAAAAAATTGTTACCTGGACAAGGTATATTATAATTACATGGCATAGATTCATAACTTGAGCCAACACAACCCCCACCTAAAGTATCACCATGACAAATCCTACTGCGACTTTGAAATGGAAAATCTTGAGAAGTAAGCAGACAAGATGCTGAACAAATACTCCAATCACTCCAACCATTGTAATTACCTTTATATAAAAAACTTTCATTTTTATGCTTTAGACAACAAATTTACTAAAATTTGAAAAAGTTAAATAAAAAACAGTTATAATAAACTTTAAAACAAATTATTAAATAAAAAAATTACCTAAAAACTACTATTGTACTGTTGTATGTTTTACTGTTGTATAACTCAGTTAAATTAGAGAAAAAAAGCCAAAAACAAACAAATTTGATTGATAGAAGTTATTCTAACTAATTTTTTAGCAAAGTTTGTTTTCTTTTTAGGTTCTTAATAAAAAAATCAGGGTGAAAAAAAATGAAATTCATGAATCAGTAAAAAAAATTGAAACTGGAACACTATAAAAGTGAAAAAGGATATATAACCATTTTAAAATAGCAAATGTTAATAGTGTAGACAACATAATTAGAAAATATGTAAAAAATAGATACCAAAAAAATTTGCTAAGAAAAGGATGCCTAGCTAAGAATACCTTCCTCTTTTAAGCTGTTTCTCTAATATAAACAATCTAGAGCATTTTGATTCCTAAAAATGCTCTAGATTCTTTATATTAGAGATTCTAAAAAAAAGCTCATTTATTCAATATGTTAGGCACTCTCTTCTTTTTACTTCTACCACAACTGTTTTCTACTGAAGCTGTTACCGCTCTAAAAGTTGATACCTAAATTACTTTAATCTTTTCTAACAAATGTTGTTTGATGCAACTTTTTTTCTAATCTGCCTAAGATTATGCCTCCTTTCCCTGTCTTGCTAGAGTCACACCACACATCCATCTGATCATCTTCTTATTCAGCAAATACTACATAAATACTTAAGTTTATATAATAATGAAAGGATAATGTATGCCAGCATCTAAACAAATAGCAAACAGATATGTTTATATTCATATTATGTGTGCAAAAAGTGCATCTTGGAAGCTTTTATTAGTTCTGGAATAAAAGTTTGAAATATTTTATTTCTTCTTATCAGTTTTAAGTCAAGCCTCATTCTACTCCATATTTTTCAAGATTAATCACTTTCTTTATCTTTTTTATAAAATCATCTTAAGAACATATGTCCTTTTTTATTATGGCAATAAGCTAATGCATAAAAAAAGTCTTGTCTGATGTAAATCTCAATTATTCTCAGTTAACTAAATCTTGCATTTTTAACTTTTTTTCTACCTAAAAATAATGTTCTCCAGAACTCTCTTCAATTTTTGCTAAACTTTTAAAAAGTACTACATGAGTGGTTCCAATTTTTCAAAACTCTAGAAAATACTTTGACCTCTCAAGTATCCTACGATTACTCTTAACTCTGTTATTAGCATCTTATAAGTTTCTATGTGAAGGTTTTGAGGTTATTCTATTATTTCTTTTTAACTGCAGTAGTAAAGTTATTCTTGAAGGCCTACTCTTTTCTTCATTTTAAATAACTTAAAGGGTACCACAAGATTCTATACTTGCTCTTGTATTATTTCTTATCTACAATAAGGATCTTAATAAAATCTAAAATGGCCCTATTTGCTTATGACTCAACTTTATACTCTTGTCTTGATAAAAAATCTTCACTTTTTCATTGCTCAGAACAAGCAGCCAATTTTAAATCTGATCTCTCTTCTGTTACACCCTATGACTTGCAGTGGCTTATGGATTTAAATTCTGAACTTAAAATCTACAATTTTTGTTAGACAACAAAACTCATTTATTTATTGCAAAAAAATATAGCAATATTGCTGGCATTCCTATATTGACGTAACCCTCTTACTCTTAAGTCTAAAAGCACATTGTAAATGTGCTTTTAAAAATGTAATTAGACATGTTTTATCTGCCAAGCTTGAGCCACTTTCACATTGTTATAAGGTTGCATTTCTTCCAATCATAGTTAATGCTTAAACGAGGTATTATCTCTATAACGATTAATCAAAACTCATTTTTGCTTGGCTATTTATTCAACAAGTTGCATCCTTTTATTATATTTGTCCCTTCATGCTATAAAATCATTTTACAGCATGGTAATTAATCCAGTTTTTTTCCTTGAACATCAAAAAAACCTTAGTACTCTTACCCAACTTCTCGTTTTCCTTTTTTATACAACTTACAACTTTTTATGTCTTTAGCCGGGGCCGGGGCCCTGATCACTTACTACTTGTCTCACAGCTCAAATATGCATGTAGCTTTCATTAATATCAGTAAGGCTTTAAAAGGCTTTAAAATTGTCTCTGGTGTGACTTTACACTAGCTCATTGACTGGTATGTAAATGTATTGTCTTATTATCCAATACATTTACTATTCTTAATGGAGAGGAACGAGGAAATATACCCTCCATATCTCCCCTGCTATTTAGTTTATATATTCATGATCTTAGCGTAACCTCCCATCCTAACTCCCATAGAATGCAGTTTGGATCCTCTCATGTCATAAGTATTTGTATTGAATAGTGTAGAGTGGAAAACCATGTTAGTTAATTTTAAACAAAGATTTTTATTATAAATGTTAATATATGGGCATAGCTCTATTATTTAATTTTTTGCTTGAATTTACGCTTGAATCAATATAACTCTTGAAATGTCTTATTTATATTTATAAGCTTTATTTGAAAAAAATAATAGTATAGAAAAATAATACTTTATAATAGTTACATCAGCTTTTTATAATTAATAGATTACGCGATATCAAAAAAGTGAAAACAGAAATTTACTTATAACTTAGAAAGAATTTTGAATAAAAAATTTATTTAAATTATAAAAAAAAATTTTTTTAAAGGTTTTTGTTCCTCTTTTCTATTTTTTACAAAAAAATAAATTCCTTGTAAACATGTTATAACTAATAACACAGCATTAAAAATATTCATAAAGCGGAAATTTAACATTTTGCCTTAGAAAATTGAAAGCCCAATGGTATATATTTTTTAATAAATGGTACTTGGAAACTTAAATCTTTGTTTGTCACAAAAAAAAGCATTAGGAAAAAAAATAAGTTTTTTTTCTTTGCAACAAGTAATATTTTTTGTTTATTAATAACTTTTTAAAAGTAAAAACTCATTATTTGCGAAGTTGTAATTTTAAGAAATAATGAAAAAAAAAAAAATTAAGATATTTATGTATGTATGTAGTCAGCGAAATTGTATGTATGTATGTATGTAGCGAAATGTATGTATGTATGTATGTAGTCAGCGAAATTCAAGGGTTTCAGGTCAACACAAGCATGCCAACCTTAGCCGACGTCAGGTTGGCAAAAAAAAATTGGATTTTTTGCTTTCTATTACGATAGAGGTAACAATTGATTGATTATAAAAGGTGATTTTTTAGTTTTGAAATTTCTTTTTTTTACAAAAAAAAATGGTCATAGTTTATTTATTACATTTTATTTAGTTTTCTAGATTGCTCATAGAAAGAACTTCGTTTAGAAATACAAATTTAGTTTAGTTTTGTAGACAAAGATTTTATTTAAAACTGCAAGTTGTTTAATAAAATAAGTTTTCATCTGGTTGTTTCATTCACCTGGTTGTTTAACCTCTATGAGAAATAAGCATTTAATTCTTCAGTAGTAGGGGTGGTGTTTTTTAATATTTAATTATAGTACAGTATGAACTTGTAACTATATGCAAATTGAAGGAGGAAAAACAAAAGTTAAAAATACTAAAAATAGTTTTTTTTCCTTTTATATAAAGATTGTTTCCACGCAATGGCGTCTTATTGTCTTATTGAAGTATTTTCATAATTTACTCATTATCAGAATTTTTTGTCCAATCATCATCAGAAATATTGCCTAAGTTAATGTTAGAAATTAAATTTTTTTGATCAGAAGATTCAGTGTCAAAAGAAACAAGGGTTTACAAAAAATTATAAAATAATATTTAATGAATATTATATATTTTTTACATGTATTTCAATTTGCGTGCTGACACTTTAGGATATTCAGGTCGGCAGTTTAAGCAAATATAGGTCGGCTTTTGCGTCGGCAATGCCGAATGCTGACCTGAATTTCGCTGACTGTGTATATATGTATGTATGTAATATAGTCAATATTGCATAAAAGATATTATTTTTAAAGTTATCCTATTTTTTATACTGATTAAGCTGTTGCATCTCGGAATTACTTGAAATGGTAAGGGTAATGGGAAATTAGTTAATATTGGAAAAAATAAGAGAAAAAATAACAGTAACAGGAAAAACTTTATTGTTGAAAAATCAGGCAAGATAAGACTCGTTAAGTGGCGAGAAATTTAGAAAAAACCAAGCAGAAACAAAATTTTTATTCTCTAAATTTCTACAAATTTATTGAAATTTTCAAAAAAGTTTCTTGTAATTCGATTTTTGTAAACTTTGTTTTATGAAAAAATCAACGCTTCATTATGCTTTGTATTCTTGTATACCAACACTACAAAAATTGTAGTGTTAGTATAAATATGAAACTTCATAATTAGGAATTTTCGTATTTACTTTATAACAGTAAAATGGATCCGATCAGCATCAGTACTTATTGCACCTTCTACTGGATGATCCTCAGGAAGGTCAGATCTCAAACGCTTTTTTTGGATTGTAACCTGTTTTAACAAAAAAGAAAAAAAAGTTATGTACTTTTTTAACATAACAGTTACTTATATATTATGTTAAAAAAGAAACTACAAATTATTTGTCAACTTTTGGCAATAAAAACTTAAAAAAGTGTTTTTAAGAAATAAACTCACCGTGAAATTACAATTTATTTTGTTATTTTTTGTAAAAAAAAATTTTTATTAATGAGTTTCACCTGATGGAAGTTATGCTGGATGTAAATCAACTTGTCAACAGATTCAGGTTGAAGCTTTGTTTGTTTAGTTGTAAAAATATGCCTGCCTGCTGAGAAGACTCTTTCAGTGGTTGCAAAGGAGATGGGTATGCACAATCATCTTCAAGCTAATTCTGGCAAAGGCAATATTTCCTTCTTATTTTCAGAACCATTCTAATGCATTGCACAATTTGTCTGTTTTTGATCTACTCATAACATATAAGTGTCCCATTTTGTTTCAATATCGCTCTTGCACTTTATATTGACAGCAAATTTAGCTGCAACAGCAGCAGGATCAGAGCAAAACTTTATGACCTCATCATCTTTGTCAACTTCATCAATAACAGTTGTGTATAAACATTACTTTGCCAGTCGATGTAGGATTTATATAATTATACAATTTCCGTCTTGACATCTTCAAATACCATTTTGGTACCAACCCAGTCAATACCATTTTGGTACCAAACCACTATTTAGAAAAAAGTTGATTAATAGTTTGATAGTATAGTTATTATTCGTTAAATAAATTATTTCAAGAGCTGCAATACACTTAACTTTAAAATATAGTTAAAAGATTGAGCTAACAGCGTAAGCCTTGTTTTTTGAACACTAAAGTGGAAAACGTTCCAATAAATATTTTAGCATATACTCGTGAAGAGTTTTAGCAGGAAAAACATCAATCAAGTTGATACTTTTCTCCAATTTCAAATATAGAATCATGACCCAGTTAACACCATTTTGTATAGTTGGAACTTTGCCTGCAGATGCCATTTCTACAACTTCTTTGATTCCCAACAGAACAGGTAAGATTTCTTTAGCAAGATAATTTGTTCTGGAGATAGCATATGTATCACGAACTTTTCAACATCCTTCCCTAATAAGTAAATAATAATAATATAGATATTTGTTCATTAAGTTGTAATTAATTAACAGAGCATACATTTCCTTGGACATAATTTTATTTGTTAATATAATATTTAATAATTTTACTGACATGTTGATTATATATGTTTTTGATTATTACATTCTAATATATGTTTACCTTAATTCAAAATATTCAAACATATTAGGTTTTTCGAAAAATAGAAAGACCTTTGGCTGTTAAAGATTTTCAATGAAAGGTTTAGTTTATAACTGGATAGTCACGAATATAACCTAAAATTTTTCTGACTTTGATCACACTTTCAACCATCATAGTCATAATTCCAACGGGTAGGAACAGATTGAATGAACTTAGTTTTAGTCATTTGAAAAGCTTCAGATAACAAATTTTTGGCCTTTTGCTTTAGCCTTTGATCGCACTTTGAACTGTGATAAACTATTATTAATAATAAGCTATTGATGCATTTATATAACTGCAGCCAGTTATATAATAATATAACAACAGCTGCTTTTTTTCCTTGGACAGCCTCCATTTTTAGGAATAAGCTGAAGGGAGTGGTCAAAGCAACAATAGCCAATGTCCTAACATTGTGTCTGCCTTGAACTGGATTTTGCATTGGCTGTGCTGTCATGAACAAGCACAATTTGTGCTTCTATTTTAATTCCAGGTATGCTATGGATATGTCTAAAGACAAAAATGATTGTCATGAAACAAATATTTTTATACCTTTAAATATTTTAAAAGTCTAAATACAGTAAATAAGAATGTATTTAAATAAGTGTAAATATAGATAAATTACAAATTTAATTTAGCGATTAAAAAGGCAATACTCAATTAAATACATTAATAATTAATAGTTCAATTAAACTTACTCTGACAATCTATTAGCAATTGCTTCTCCAGTGTGACTGCCATTGAAGTAAGTAAAATGAACAACAAACTTCTTTAATTTGAAGTAGTTGTCAATATAGTGATAGGCTCATATAGGATTGTAGTTTTGAGATGTACAGACGTCTGTAGAATATGCAGGACATGTTGGCAATTCTTTTATAAACAACTCATCAACCTCTTGCTTAAGATGTGCGTAGAGAAGTGGCAAACGGTTTCTCGAAAGTTTTGTTTTGGACTTAAGAGTCATCTAAAATATTTAAAATGCCACTAATTTTCACTATTTAATGCTATTAATTGTTAGAATTTAAAATTCAAAAACATTATTTGTAAAGCTTATTTTACTTGAAAAATAATGTATTGAATTTTAGACTTCATTATTTTGTATTACTTTACCTTGGGATTGAAATAATGGATCAAATGCTTAAATGAATCCGTTTCAAATAGGTTGAAAGCACTATTGCTTGTTGCCAAAAACACCATAATTTCCATATCAGCCTTAAGGTGTGACAAATCTGATTGTTTGTTTTTTGTTTAGTAGGTAATTGAACTTTTGTCACTTAGCTTCAGCTCCTTAATACTTCTGCTAAAAACTTAGGACTTTTTTCTTTAAACTCTTCTTCGTAGTTGCCCTATGTATAATAATTCTTTTCAATACGAAGATAACTATAATTCTTTTTTTTTTCGCTCTAACTTCACTTTTCTAATATGCTTCCATTTCACCGGGTGTGCAACTTGAATGTCACGAGTTGTTCCAGAAGTAGATTTGACAGTATAATTGTATTCTTTCTTGCAGATATTACAGAAGACAGTTTTCAGATTTCTTTTAACATCAGTAAAAACCTGCCATAGTTCTTGATTACGTGGATTACCCATGATTTTATTTCAAAAATTATACTTAATATTAAATAAAGGTTTTACTAAAAATTAAATCACAGTTTTTATAAGACACGCAAGTACACAAGTGATATTATGCATGTAATATTATAATGTGTATAATGATATGTATAATAAATATTATAAGAAATATTATAACATTACATAAACATATTATAAAATAGCATATAAATATATATGTATAATATAATATATAAAAATAATATAAAACTATATACTATATGTAACATATAACAAAGTGTAGGCATTAAAGTATATGTTACATATATAGTCAAGGGCTTGGAATAACAAACTTTTTTCTACTGGACAATTTGTCCAATAAAGACTCAATTTTGCCGGACATGTCCAATAAAAATTAAAGATGTGTGATAAAGCGACATTCCTAACCACTCATAAAATTTTGTTTTTACTACTTGACCACGCAATTTGTTTTGACAACTCTAGGTGTTTCAAAATGCATTAAAAATAAAAAGAAAATTTATAAGATAAATTATCTAAAAAAAAAGAAAATCTTAAAGAAAAAGAAAAAATCTAAGCTCAATAAACTAAAATTTTAAAGGAAATTAAGGTGAAATTATTATATTTCTATCAATTTTGGGAAAACTTTGTGGGGTACCGTCTCTGATTTTCTTGATTTTTACATATCATTATCTACATGTGGATAGATTAAATTTGAAATTTAAGACTTCCTAGTGCACTGGTTGAGAAAATATAGCTTTATAAACACTGCTCAGTGGCCCCCCTCAATTTAAGAATTGTAAAAACAGACTACTTTAAAGCCTCATAACTATTATCTTTCAACAAGTGCCTCATTTTTCTAGAAGTGTTCTCTAGGTAGTTCTGTGTTAAAAATACTGGTTTTTGTTAACTTCTATCACATTAGAAAAAAATTATAGCCTCCTCAACTTCATAAAAAAAATTAAAAATGCTATAAAAGGCCAAAATGAAGTTAATGTAGTATTTTTTTTTTCATCATTAAGTCCTTACAGTTTAGTTTTCTGATTAGTTATTATTATCTGCAACAAATAGGCAAAAAAAAAAAGTCGCTTGTTACAGTTTAGAACTGAAATATATCTAAAAATGTATTGTCCATTTGGCAAAAAAGTGCCATTTTTTAACATTTTGAGATGCTTGTAATTGTTTCTAACACTTTGTATTGATCTAAGCTGCAATGCAAACATTTTTTACTTGTTGCATTCACTACAAAAATGGCAGAATTTAAAAATAACCCTACTTTCCAATAATCAAGGTTTGAATGCATTATAAGAAACCAGTGCCCCACTAACTTGCCAATTAGCATATTCAATGGGTGCAACTGATAATAAGTTGTTTCTTAAATAATCTACAATAAAAAATGATTTTTTTCTAAAAACAAAGTTAACTAAAAAGTAGAAATTAATTTTTCTTTGAGCTTGTCAGAATGTCTGATTATATTCCTCTTATAATGATGACAGATTTTATAATAAATTTGATACACGTAAAACAAAAAATGTTGGGCCCATATTAAAAGATTGGTGATTGACCAACACTTAATGGTTTCGTTAATCATATATCAGTGCAATACATCTACGCTGATCATTAAAATGACCAACAATTTTTAAACTATAAAAGATACACTTAAATACATCCACACAAACAAATCATTAAATCAAATGTTATACTGCATAATGTCATAATATTATCAAATCACCACTTGCGCCTAACATTTTTTGTTTTACGTGTATCAAATTTGTTATAAAATCTGTCATCATTATAAGAGGAATATAATAAGACATTCTGACAAGCTCAAAGAAAAATTTTCTACTTTTTAGTTTGCTTGAAAAGCGTTGTTTTTAGAAAAAAAAAATTTTTGTACATTATTTTTTACTTTTTAGATTTTTTTGTTTTTAACACATAGACTATTTATTATTTGGTTACTAAATTTTTGTTCAATACTTGTGCTGAATTATTTGAAATATTTTTTGTCCGTTACTATTTATTTTATATAATTAGTTAAAGTTACATAACAAAAGAATTCAGTACAAAAGAATTCAGCAGAGTTACGTAACAAAAAAATTGTAAAAGTATTGAACTCATTCATTATTCATTCAGTTGAAATTGAAAAAAATATTGACTGCCAAAGCTTGAAAATGTTTTTAAATTGCATTGTCATCGGGTTCTGAGCTATCCTAAAAGTTTCAGAGCACTAGCTAGTCGGGAAGTAAGTTAAATATAGCTTCAAAGATTCTAAACAGACAGACAAACACAGAAAGCAAGTTTCTAAAAATGTTGTAAAAAATGAAAGATATGGTTGACTGCCCCCATACATATCTGGTTTTTAACCTGGGCAGGGGCACAAATAAAGGGGCAATAACAAGTTAAAACCCAGTATTTTTGTTAAATAGTGATTATTTAAACAAAACTTACATAATTAAGGAGTGTTATAACTTAAAGTCAAAGACCTGTAGTTTTTTACAAAATTAATGTTGAAAAATTTTTAATAAGACTTTCATAATAAATCAAGGGGATATTCATGATACATTAGGGGGCTTAAAAAATTTAATAACTTCTTTAATAAAAATAAATAATGATTAATAAAAGAAAAATTCGAAACTTGTTATAAACCACTTTAGTTATTAAGTTTGGTTTTTATTCTTTAATTTATAATTAATTGCTCATTCAAAACAATTAACACAGAATAATTTAATTTAATCGTCTTTTTTTATTGGATAGGAGTAAAACCCTCTTGTGTTTTGGAGTTCAGACTCATGTAATATTTCAATAATGTCATTAACTGGATACCAATGAATATCTGGTGTTTTTGGATATTTAAAATAATTGACAGCCCTAGGTAAACAGCTGACAGATAGTCACCTCTTATAAGAGGCCTCTGTATTAGCTCCTCTATAGATTTTCTTATAGAACAAAACATTCAACATGAGAATAGTATTTCACAGAAAATAAAATTATTAATCTTATTTCCTATCTATTAGACCATTTAGAAAACAATAAATGAATTTAAAACAACACAATATATGATAAAGCAAGCTAGAGCTTTGCAGGACACTAAAGGAATCCTTGGTCAGAGATTAACTGACATAAGAAATCTAAAAAAAAACTTGACTTTTAAAGTTATAAATCAAATTGTCATTTTTTATGAAGATATTTAAGTTAAAACAACGTGTTGTCTGCAACGGCAAATTTTCAAATTGGTCTCCAGTTACAAGTGGAATACCGCAAGGGTCTGTCTTGGGTCTGTTTATGTTTATTGTTTATATAAACGACTTATCAAATGAGTTATCAACATACTGTAAAATGTATGCTGATGATATTTAACTAATTAACATAATTAGATCATCTTCTGATATAGAAAAGACTTGTACAGATCTAAACAAATTAATGACATGGTCACAATTATGGCTATTTAAATTTCATGTCAACAAATGTAAATGTATGCATATAGGTAGCAAAAATATTAAGCATATATACACAATGTATGATTCAGTGTTAAATAGATTTGAGCTACCAGAAACCAAAATTGAAAAAGATTTAAGAGTTATGATTTTAAACAATTTAAAATGGTCTAGTCAAGTGAATTATGTCTGGTAAAGCTAATAAAATGTTAGGAATAATAAAACATTCATTTAAAAACCTAGATATAAACGCATCTAAATTATTGAACACCTCTCTTGTAAGACCATATCTAGACTAAACAAATTCAGTGTGGTATCCTTACTTAAAACAAGATTAAAAAAAATTGAATCAATACAACGTAAAGCAACACGAACAAAATGTCTCCAAGGAAGAAACTATGAAAGTAGACTAACCTAATTTAAATTAACGACTCTTAAAAAAAGACCCGAACGTAATGATTTAATCCAACTTTACAAAATAGTAAAAAAAATTAGATAATTTAACATTGGAATACCCTCCAGATTTAATAATAAATATATATATATATATATATATATATATATATATATATATATATATATATATATATATATATATATATATATATATATATATATATATATATATATATATATATATATATATATATATATATATATATATATATATATATATATATATATATATATATTATATGTATATATATATATATATGATATATATATATATATATATATATATATATATATATATATATATATATATATATATATATATATATATATATATATATATATATATATATATATATATATATATATATATATATTAAGTTCCAGGTAACAAAAGAAAAACTATTCAAACTAAGATGAGTAAAATATATTTATTAGTTAATATTTAACAAATATTTTTTTCAAACACAGAAGGCCTTTCATATAAAATCGTCAACTGTGCATGAGATTTACAAAACTTTAAATAAACTCTTTATATTGAACTTCCTATAAAAAGTTTAAAAAGGAAGTAATTAAGGTTTATATATATATATAAAAAAAATATATATATATATATATATATAATTAACAATAATATAGTATAACTTGATTCTTGTTAGTAAGGAAATTTTTAAAGTAATGTAAAAATAATTACTTTCTGTTTATATGTTCATTGTGTTATATCCCTGTTTATGTATGTGAGATTCATAAATAAGAAGTAAACTTTGAAAGTTTTAACATTGGAAATAATTTTAAAAAAGGTTCCTTTTTTTATGGCAATTGAAAACATGCTGATCAAATTTATCTGAATACCTGTTCTGCATGTGTAGATGTGTAGATTAGTTCTTAACCTTAGGTTAATAATTATTACAATGTATTTTGTTTTTCCATCACATTATTATTGAAACCAGATGATTTTTAACAAAAAAAAAAACTATGTAGATTTGAGAGCCTAAAATTAGGCTCTCAACCGGAAGTATAATGGCAAAACAACTAATGATTTTGTTAATATCTCATTTAATAATTTGTTTTGGAAAGTTTAATTAACTTTTAACTTATTTTCTAATGTTTTCCTATGATATTAACACAACTTGTCTCGACACTTGGGGATCCCTTTAGGAGAAATAATTATTTATCATTTTAAGAATATTGAACAATATTTAAAAAGTAAAATACCTGGGCAAGGTACTCCAATATTGCAGGTTCGAAACTCATAACTATTACCAATACAAACTACACCTATTGTATCACCTTGACATACTCTAGAGCGATATTGAAAAGGAGAAATCTCAGCTTGAGATTGACAAGTTTTGAGACAAGGAGTCCAACTACTCCATGTTGAATAATTACCTTTATAAACCAGAAATCATCAATTAAAAAAACAGAAGCCATTATTTTGATGAGCATATAAATTTTTAATGACAAAAAAAGTAAAGATTTTCATTTGTTACCTAAACAGAATACATTTTGATTGCAAGGTCGTTGATTAATTATATCGCTTTTATTGCAACCAATATTGAATGTAGAACTTACTAAGCAAGTCCTGTTTCTATACTGGTAAGGTCCATCACCAATAGTTTTACAAGTACTAGAACATGCACCCCATGAACTCCAATCTGATAAACTTCCTAAAATAGATAAAAGGCCGGTAATGTTAAAAAGAACTAGATTGAAATTGTCATTTTTACATTATTCATATGTTTATTAATAGAGGGCTTTTCCCACTCTATGTACATGCATTTTTTGAGTTTTAATATAAGTTTGTTGGAGAAGGTATCTAAAATTGAAAAACTAGCATGATCAACTTTTTAAAACAGCTTTTATTTGTTTGAATATGTTTATAAAGGTGTGAGTTTTTATCCTTTTTTTGGTGCTTGATTATTCTTGTCTTTAAATGGCGAGTAGTTTCGCCAATATAACAGGATTTACAGCCTGCACATTTAAATTTATAAACAGCAAATGAATGTCTGTAGGAAAGGAATATATTGCGAAAAAAAATTTTGAAAATTTAAATGAAGTAAAATCTGGAATTGTTTGTTTTATTTGTAGAGTTAGGTCCAAAAAATATATTTTTGATTTAATTTCTTTTTTCATTGTAAAAATAATAGAACAATGTTTATTAATGATATACTCCAAGAATAAATCCGCATGATTTTCGGATGTGAACGCAGCAAAAATATCATATACGTACCATTTAAAAAAAGCTGGTTTTGCTCCGTTTTATAATTTGAGCGATTTATCTTCAAAATTTCCCATGAAAAGATTACCAAGAACAAGTGCTAAGGGAGAACCCATAGCAACACCATCAATTTAGCTGGTATAAGTGCGAAGCGTTGCAAAAACTGGGATAAGTACGAATTGGCATAAGTGTGCCAAAAGAATTTGCAAATATTGGCATAAGTGCAAGTTATTATAAGTGCAAACTGGAATAAATGCAAAGCAGTTGTAAAAACTGGCACAAGTGCAAACTGACATAAGTGCAAAGCACTTACAGAAACTGGCATAAATGTGAACTGGCATAAGTGCGAATTGGTATAAGTGTGCTGAATAAATTTACGAACATTGGCATAAGTGCAAATTGGCATAAGTGCAAAGCAGTTGGAAAAACTGGCATAAGTGCGAACTAGCATAAGTGCACCGAATAAATTTGCAAACATTGGCATAAGTGCAAGCTGGCATATGTGCGAATTGGCAGAAGAGCGAAATAACAATTTGCACTTATTCCAATATTTGTAATTTTATTCTGCACACTTATGCCAAATCACACTTATGCCAGTTCGCACTTATGCCAGTTTGCACTTATGCCAATTCACACTTATGCCAATTCACACTTATGCCAATGTTTGTAAATTTATTCGCACTTATGCCAGTTTCTGTAACTACTTTGCACTTATGCCAGTTTACACATGTGCCAGTTTTTACAAAAGCTTCGCACTTATGCCAGTTCACGCTTATGACAGTTCGCACTTATGCCAATTTGCATATATACCAATTTGCATTACACCGTTCGCACTTATGCCAGTTCTCACTTGTGAAACTCCTGCTTTTTTTATTCATCCCATATGTAGTACAGCTTTTGTTTCTTGAAATATTATTTTCTTGTCTTTTGTTTTGCATGTTTTGCATAATCTTCGATCACATCATGGAAGCATGGCTGTCAACACGAAATGGAAAGGCACAATTGTCTAATTCTAAAACAGGTCCTCTAAATTTTCTCTTAAAAAAAAAAAAGAAAGCCTTTTAGAAAAAAAATAAGGCTCCCCCAGCTTCAATGGCTATGAGAGGTCTAAATTTTGTGCCAATAAACACTTGATACCCAAAATAGCAAGACGGCTTGTTTGCCCTGGTCCCATGGTTGAACACAAAATGTTTCTGATAAGCTTGAATCTACTGAATAAACGCTTACTTGAGGCTACTATCACTGGAATTAAAACAAAAATAGGCAGTGCAATGACTACATTTCTATAGAGATATTTTTACGCAATCATAAATTTAGAAACTTTTTTTAATAAGTTGAACAGGCCAAGAAGTTTCTTTCCAAAGTTTGAAGTATAAATTTGTTGAGTTAATTCAATTTCAGTCAGGTTACGTGAGTATTTGTGTAAAATATGGGAGCAGGCACTCTTGATTTCTGCTGAAGACAATATTTGAAATTCCTACAAAAAAAAAGAGTATAGCAAAAAATTGTTGTGAAACAAGTAGTGAGTCAACCAATTAAAGAATTATAATTTGATAAAAAACCATTCTCCGAAACATTGTCTCCTCTCCTAATTCTGTTTCTGTTGATTATGTGTAATGCTCGTCAAAACAATTTGCTCCTCTGTAAAACCTATTTTTTTTTCTATTTGAAATTCTGAACTGATTATTGCAGTATCTGCAGCTAGTTTTATCTAATATTGCTATTACTCTCTCAACCAAATAAAAGACCTGGTTGCAGTGTTCAATCAATGTGAAGATTTTTGTCAAAATTCCAGACAAAAACATATTTGAAGGAGCTCATTTATTTTAGGGCACCTCTAAACTATTTTTTTATTTTTGGCATTATAAACAAGCTCTGAACTTCTTCCACACAGTAGGCTTAGAGGTGGAAATAGAAAAAAAAAATTTGCTTGAGAAAGTCTATAAAAATTATTTATTCAGAAAGTCTGATAAATTTGTAGATAAATATAAAAAATTATGTTTCTAGCTAATTTCTAAGGGATGATATGCAATTTTGAAGTTGATGAATTTCCAATTTTTTGTGTGTCTATAAATGTTTAGTAAATTCGGTTAATTTCCACTCAAAATGAATTTAACGACATGAAAATTGATAAACCAATAATATAAATGTCGCTTTTAATTTGATATGGAGTATATTTTTGAATAAATTAATTAAAAATGTGTTATTTTTTAATTTTTTTTTAAAGCTTTTAAAACCTTATTATGTAATTATGTTATAAATTTATGTTGTTGTTTTTTACAAAAAATCAGATTAAATGTTAGATTTTTTCAAAAGTGATAACTTGCCCCTACTGTGTCATACATTTTAAAAATATTTAACATTTCTTATTTTTAAATATTTTAAGGGTAACTGTGCAAGGCAAGTGTGCACTTTTTTTTATTTACATGATTTTAAAAAGTTGAACAGTGATTATTTTTATCTTAAAATATATCAATATTTTATTTTTGGTTACAAATATGAAAATTTTATATTTTTTATTTGATTATTTAATATGATTTTATGTTTGTTTCAGCAGAAGTAAAGTTAAATAAAAAATAAATATAATAGAGGAAAATAAAAATGTAAAATGCATCACAGAAATAGATTTATTCACTTAATTTATTTAAGGTGACAAAAATGTCAAGTCAAATTCAGTAACATATTCAGCCATTAGAGCAGGGGTGTGAAGTCGTAAAAAAAAAGTAACGATTCTGACTCCAGTTGTTGAAATTTTTTGAGTAAAACTCCGACTCCGACTCCAGTTGTTGAAATTTTTTGAGTACAACTCGGACTCCAACTCCAACTCCAACTCTTAAGCAAAATTTTTGAAAAATTCTTTTAATTCTTTAAAAAGTATTGCGCGATAAGTTGAAATTTTTTTTTGACAAATTTATAAAACATTCTTGGAGGGATATCTACAACAGGGTCACAAGTCCGTAGATTTTTTTCTGAAGAACTAATTTCTAACATAAAAGATCTATGTCCTTCTATGTACAAACATAGCATGTTACTACTACATTCTCAAATCAGTTTAATACTTTGTATAGTTTCTTGTCAGTATAAAATTAAAATAGAAAAATTTCAGGAGTTATGCAATAATGCTACACTTAACATTATTACAAATATGCCATATGCACAAATTAACCACACTCTTCATCGAGACCTTCATCATTCAAGCTTGTTTGGCAGAAAATATTAAACTAAACTGTCACCTTTACCTATTGAACACAATGACCAGCTCTTGTAAGTCTTCACTTAAAGCATTAGAGACTTCAAAAGGGAAACTTTTTGGAAGAAACTGAATTGCAGCAAACATTGTTGTACAGCTGAACAAACTTTGCTACAAGAATGCAAAAGGTACTTATATTATTTTAAAGTCATTCTTTTACTTTAATATAGTGTAATTTTGTGAATAAAATTACGAGTTAAAATAAAATAAATATTATAATTAATGCATATTTTTATTTCACATTCTCCTTGCAATCACCAAATTGACTTACTTTATGTTATTCATAGGTGATCCAAAGGATTTAGTTAGCTGTTTGGACCAACAAGAGTTGCCCAGAGGATATTCTTTTTCATACATGTGGTATTTTGATCCATCATTATGCCATATTGAAGATATTTCTGTGTTCTGGCTTGGCGTTATGCAGAGGTCTGCAAAATAGTTTGTTTTAAGACATTGCATCTGAAACAGGTATCTTTTCCTTTTTTTATACAGGTTCAGTTCATTTGATAAAGTAGTACGCAAAATTATAGGTTATAAAATGCATCTTTAAAATAAATGGTAATCACACTTGCAAGATTAGCGGGGAATAAAGACAGGGAATAGACAAATTTTATTCTTTGTTACTTAATAACTATTTTACCTTAGGTATCCTTGAGTTGTGAGTTTTAGCTTTAATTGGAAAGCTACTTTCTAGTCCTTTGATGATAAAATTTTATATTGCACCAGATACTGACTGTCTTAATGTTGTTATTAGCGCCATTGACAAGTGTCAGTTCAAAATGAGTTCTAATGATCATCTTAAAGACCAGACTAAATCAGCTAGGCTTCACAATATTGAGTCAGAAGATCATATGGTTATGTTTAGTGCTGCAAAGCACAAAGCT